TCAGTGCTTTATAGAGGGTTAGTTTAATCTTGGCATTTAAATGCTCACTTCTAAATAGGGAGTAGATTATATCAAATGTTTTGAAGGTCTTGTCTTCAGTCACTTGTATGTTCAGTCTCCATGTAATCCTCTTATCGAAGATTACACCGAGATATTTTACATGATTGATGAAGGGGATATTCCATTCATTCACTGTAAAATGAGCCTCAGGAGGCCAATGTCTATGAGAAAAGTAGATGGCCTGAGTTTTATCTTCACTGATTTTTGTGTTCCAGTGCTCACTCCACATCTCGGTAGCAGTGTGAACTTGCTGAAGTTTCTGATAACATCACCCTCTTTTCGGTCTGTCACATATAAACAGGTGTCATCAGTAAAGAGACATAGGTAGACACAGGTGTTTGGGGTGTATCATTTACATATAGACTGTATAATGTTGGGACAGGACGGAACCTTGTGGCACCCCTGCTTGTATATCCCTTGGCATAGACATTTCACCTTTGACTGAGACTCTGAATTCTCTCTGAGAAAAGAGCTAATAAGGTTGGTTACACAGACCAAAAATTGTAAATGGGATAATTCATATAGCAAGCCAAGGTTCCATGTTTTTACAAAGGATTTTTCAGTATCCAAAAACACCACAGCCATAGATATGTTATTGTTGAAATTTAAGGTGATATAGTCCCTAAACTTCATAAAATGAAGGGTCCTGCTGTGATGGGCACACACACCAAACTAAGCAGACCTGTTTTCTTCAGCATGCCTTTGGAATATTTTCAGTATAACTTTTTCTAATAGCTTGCTTGTTGTGGACAAGAGGTTAATCAAACATAAATTTTGAATGAATTCTGAGTCCTTGCCAGGTTTCAGTAACGTTATAACTTTTGCTTCCTTGCAAGGCCTTGGAAAATGGGACAGCCAAAGGCAGCGATTAAATGTGTCAGATGCACCAGTGGTCTTCTTGGAAGATGCCGAAGCATTCATTTGGAATACTATCAAGTCTACAAGCCTTGCTCAATTTCAATGAATCACTAATTTATGTATGTCACTTTTCACAATGGGGTGTTGCCTACAGATGGGATCAGAGCTTGGACTCTGGTCTCCACCTGTAACTTATGGTTTTTGTTACACAGGTCATGAGATGTGAAGTGGTTTCCTAAACAGTCTGCAATCATATTGGCCTGATCGTTCAAGTGATATGTTATTCCTAAAGGTTCATGAGCAGTGGTTGGTGCCTTTGGCCCATCCATTTTCATAAGCGATTATGCAGTAGGCAACATCTTGAAGTGTGATTTCACAGTTCCCTACTCTTGTTTCCAACCATTCGAGAGCCTTTCTGTGGGTCATTTGTCTGATGGTTTTGGTGACCCAAGTAACTGCCTTTTTACATGCTAGATCCCAGGTTACTTGCCACAGTTTCCATACCATCCGCTTATGTTTTAGCAGACTCTCCAGACCAGGTAGATTTAGACCCTTGAGTGTAAGTGGAAAACGATTACTTACCAGTATTATTCTCCTGTGTTCCAGTGTTAAAATGCACAGAAATCTCTGCTAAATATTCAAGATATAACCAACCATTATGATCTTGTTAAATATTACTGAGTGAGCAATATTTTATTTTTGTGAATTACCTTCAGAACGTTAGTTCTTGAATGTGATTAGCAGATATTTTCATGAATAATATTGAAGGAAACATAAATAAATAGTTTTTCTTACTTTACTTTGTTGCATGAGCTGACTAATCATGGTCACTACTTTTACAGATTCAATGATTGCAGCTGCTTAACATAATTTTTAACATTCACATCAAAACATAAGTCTCATTTATGTTTATGATAGTACTGAAAGTAACAGGCAATTATTGTAATCTTTAATCAAATTTTATTCCCATCTCAGGATTATCTCTTTTTAAATACATTGAATAAACTCAGTACCTTAATTTTTTTACATGTCCAGTGTTTGAGGCTGTTAATGTAATTTGGAATAGTGCATCAAGATATTATGTAAAACTGAATGCACCACAGTGGATCATTTCTGAGGAATTCCTGTTCTGTGATCTTACCATATTTGGATGTTGGGGTTAAGTACAGAATCAGAACATTCATGTGAATCCTGCATATGGTATTTTTCAGTTGACAGTTCCATGATAACAGTGACATTATTCATCTGTTAGTGGTGCAAAAGCAACTACATTGACATGAGTTTTTCAGTCTCTTTGGTTGCTGTGTGATGGAAAAATAATTTAAGAATAAGTACTTTTTATGATTGCTAAAACAGAATTCATTGTATTAAAAGGACATTAAATTGATGAAATGTCTGACAGATGGGACAGTTTCCAAGAAACTGGATGAAGTCATGAAGCATGTTGTATCATAGAAATATGATTATAATAATTAGATCATATGGTGTATATGTTCTTTACATAACTGTTTATAAGTACATTATGAAGTTCAGCTATTAGTTTCATCATGCCCATCTGTCTGTAAATATCAGCGCCCAAATTTCTAGACCAACCCAAAATAAATTTTGTTCAAATATATAAATTTTTGTTTAGTTTGCTTCTTTTTAAAATCCATTTTAATAGCCTAAATGTACTTTCATGTGTGTCATGCGAGTCCTTTGACAAATGTTGATAGCACTTGATTCGTATAGGAGTATTAATGTATCTAGTTCTCATCCACTGTCAAAAGAATTAACAGGTTGCATCCTCTTAATGGCACTTCTGAGTGTGCATTGCCAATTATTAAGATCTTGGGGTACATGTGGATAGAGTACTGAAGACAGTGGGCTCTAGTTCTGCATTTCTACTGATAATAATTTGTCAAATATTTATTTAAAATATAAGTGAGAACATTTTTCTCACAGTTGTAATAATTTTGTATGAAGCTGGTCAAAATGATGAAACCGTTTTCAGGTATACAACAGTAAGAACAGTCATGCATTGCCATATAGTATTGATGAACTAGGAAGTATCGAGTTCACTGCAACACCGTATGCTTGATGAGGCTGAGGAGCTCATTAACTAACAAGTACTTCCTTGAAGGTGACGACATATCTCCTTACTAATTTATCACTCCCAACTAGATTCCTTCTGCACGTTTTCTGCATGTGCGAATGGATTTTCTTGCTTTAATCATGTTTATATCAATATGCATGGGCATGATATGTTCTGTCCTTATTTGGGTAATTTGTTGAATGTTGTTGTGTCACTGATTTGTGCATGATACAGTACATACGTACTTACAGAAAAACTTAAAATAACAAGAATAGAAAGATGTATGCCGGTGGACTTAAATATACATTCCAAATGACATGTGATTTTGAATACCTCTTTGACCTTAATGTCCATTTACTACAAAACAAATCAGTTGCTTCAATACATCAAAGTAGAAGTTACTTATTCCTTGTATTTAATTAAATGTTTAAAAGGAAAGGGGTATAGCATAATGATATCTGTGTTTTACTTTCAATTGTGCTTTAATATTTTGTATCATAAGACATTTTTGTGATATTTTGTAAAATTCAGTTTCAAATTATAATTAGAGATATACACTACAATTAAATTTTGTCCAGCAGCTCTCAGCATGGAGCTGAAATACGGCTGATCTTGGGGGAATATCTGAGTTTGCAAAACATTAAGTAATATGAAAATCAAGAAAAATACATAATGAGAAACTTTACCATTTGTGCTCTTCACATTTTAATGCTGGGGCGTTTTAAATCAACAAACAGGAAATTACCTTGACATGTGGTCCACAAGAAAAATGAAAGAATGACTGTGACATCTAGGTGAGGTGGAAGGAAATCGAAGTGGACCTGAGAGAAATAATATTTTAAAATTAGAACTGTATTGAACCGGTTCTGGTTGGGGTATAGTGATGGCTTTTGTGAACGCGCTGAAGAACATTTGGGTTGACATTTTGTGTGTATCTATCCATTCAAGTTTTTGTTCTTCTGTCACCAGTTCCAGCATGGTAGGCATGCAAACATCAGAAGTTAGAATTGTCTGATAACAGGAATTTGTCATAGATCTGTGAGAAACATAAAAATTATGTTTGGAAGATTGATCATTATGTGTATAGTTGCCCCTATGCTAAACCCCCACATGTGGAGGCATGTAGATGCCATGGAAAAGTCTTCACACATTACTTACCACAGCAATTTTTGGAGGCCAGTGGGTCAGTCTTACACTTCAGTTGCTTTACCCAGAGAAAGAGCCCTCATTACACATTGGAGGGGTGCCTGGATGATGCCCAGAATCTATGAAAGAAATGTCATACTCTGCTGTTAATTGAATTGTGGTCATTAGATCTGTAGCCAGCTTCTCTACTTCGTTTTTTTAATTCACTTAATAATGCTCTCTCACCTACATGGGTTATATTGTTTTAGACAGAAAGATGAATGTAGAAGCTGACTACAGATCTAACGGGATGATGAGCTGCAAGGATTGTGGGAATAGATTACATCAGCATTTTCTTGAAAGGAGTAAGAAAAATTATCCAGAAGTGGCCACAGTACAAAAGACTTAGTCCCACCCCACTAGCATTAAAAAAAATTATAATAAATCTGTGAGGGTAGCTTGCCTCGAAGCTGGAAATTTAACCTGGAGCCTCAAAAGTATGATGCATGAATGCTAACTACTCAACTGTGACATTCAGTAACTACTCCACAAATCTGACTATCCTATAATAATAAAGATTATGATGACAACAATGATAAATGAGAAATACCCCAAAGTATTACTTCTTCTGTTCTTGTATGTTTTATAAACATGATCTCTAAGCTTCCATATGCCTCCATGACATGCTGCTTAGGCCCAGGAACGACTTTGTCTCTGTCTCTCTTGTAGATTATGTTAACTCCTAAGATATGCATGGCTCTTCAGTTACGAGAATTCAGTGCCAGAACTATGCAAGTAATCGTGCCAGTGGCTTGTGTACAAAATATCTACTCTTCATACTTCTTTTATGTATTTTTTGTACATTCTTACTTGTGTTTGTTAGGGGCAAGAACATATCGTTAATGGGGTCACAACACAGGGTCAGAACAACACTTCAGCGTTATTTCCAACAATTCCTGAAGGTGCGTCTACTGAAAGAGGTTAGACATTGGTAATTTACTACTTGATGCAGCTCTTTCTTTCTATAACATATATTTTAGTATAGTTCATAGCAAAACCTTGTTAAACTGAAAAACTGAACCATAATAAGTCTTAAAGCTTTGTTTCCTTAAGTAACTCTGTCTGTTAAATTAAATTTCACATAATCTGAGACTTGCTGTTATCTATAAAGAATAATTATTCAGCTGTCTGGTATGAGACCTGCATGTTCAATATCTCTTATCTCAAAGCCTGCAATTGGACACAATCCTAAAACAAACCAATTCAAATTACCTAATTAGACCTCAGCCTTAACTTGTTTGATGTTTTCTTTTAACAGTTATATAGTAGGATGAGGCCTTCTGGACAAAAATCAGTTCTGTAACATTAAATATTCAGTGCAAAAAGCATCGGTAGGATTAAAGAAGCATTGCTAATTATGTAGGTGAGTCAGAAAGTGTCCACAATGATTTATTTTAAATGTTGCCATGTTGGCTGCACAGCTTATTTTGTGTACAGGTAGAGGCATAAACTTCAGCTTCCTGTGTGACTGTGAAATACTTTCATCCATGATCAGCCAGTTTTAGTGTTGTCTTGACAGAGCTAACATGGCTTCTCTGCTTTCTGTATGCATTAAAGAAGAGTAGCATGTAGTGATAAAATTTTTGTGGGCTGAAGGTGTGCCAGGGGCAGAAATCCATTGCAGACTTTCAGCACCATATAGAAACAGTGCTCGTCTGCAGTGAAGTATGTACATTCATTGTAATTGCATTATTTAATGAAAATTAATTGTGGATGCTTTCTGATGCCCTTGTATTATGAATTTGTCATATTTTTATGAGCAGTATGCTTTTTAATAATATATTTGTCGCAGAACTTCTCACATTGAAGACATTATGTCTGAGTTGAAGAATACAGAAAAAAATAATCATCATAGACAAAAAACATTTTGGGGAAGAGAGGGGGAATTTGGATTTTAGAATATCAGAAAGGGGACATGAGACAGAGAAAGTTAAGAACCAGTGTTCCAAAACATATTAAAACATTTCCTCCAGTATTCTCTATCATCCAAATTGTCATGAGATGTTTTCCCCCACCATCTGAGATATGTGTCCAATCCATAACATCCATTATTTCAGTTGCAGAAATGTAGTTGTAACATATTCACGTTCTTGTGACATTGCCGTGAGGACTGTTGTGACTGCCACTGTTTATGTTTTGATATCCTTAGAGACATTGATTTTTCAGTTTTCTTCAGTTCCCCCTCATAACTGTAGAGATGTCCATGCAACAGACTCATGTTGCTAATCCTCAGTAACTGATTTGAATTGTTTCATGCAAGAAAGATTTACCTCCATTTTTACCTTTACTTGGTTTATAAAGGCACATAGAATTGCTGTGTAAACAAGTCTATATCATCATATCTGTTCCCTGCAGTAACTTTTGAAAAAAATGGACAGAATCTCATGAAACGTGGAATGAGCATTATGCTGTCTTTGTAAGTTTTGATTTTCTACTACCAGTAATACCCGCATGGTGGCAGTGTGAACGTTTGGGATGAAGGTGGTGTTAGTGCTCTTTCCAAGCAAATGGCCAGATAATATGTCAGACTGACCCATAAGCAGTTTATTCCATAACATTTCCAGTTGCTTATTCATTACTCATCTACCATTCAGTACTATGCATTCTTAGCAATCGAGGATGTCATTAAACCACTACCACTGCTTGGAAGTGTGGCACTAACACTTTATTTGGTAATTAATAGTGTGCTCCATTAAGAAGCACATATATAAGATGTATGGGGGTGCTGTAGTATAGTTCTATATAGTCTTAATCTCAATAGGTGATGACAATGGCCAGCTTCACACTAGTTCCCACTGGATAGGAAGCTAGATTATCCCCCAAAGACAAAATGTGGTCCTGCCAGAAGTCAAAACCTGGTTGTCCAGTCCATAGTTAATGATGAATAAAAAAAAATATATAAATTTTGTTAGGGGTTTTTTATTTTGTAAAATGTAAAATCATGATGTGACAGCTCCTCAAAATCTTTATTTAGCTTTATGTTTGATGGCAATAACCGATGTACTGTTGATAAGAGGAATGTGAAATTTCTGCATACTGTTGATCATGCACTTACTAAAATTTCTTTATGAAATGTCTTTTTATACATTACAGATTACACATATGATGATGGTAAAATATATGGAGATTATAGATTGGAAACGGTAGTATTTGTATCAGTTGATATTATTCTCAGAAGCGGATCACTAAAGAGTAATATAGATGGATCACTAAATATGAGTAGTATAATTATGTAATTATTAATGTAAAATTCCTGCTGGCCTTGGCATATAGGTTAATGCTTTAAAGGAGAGTGCTTACACAGGAATCCCGATTGAGGTTTTCCCGCATTTCATGGTCTTTTCTTGGAGTCACAACTGAAGTCCCACATATGCAATTAATAAATTACCCAATGTAGTGTTTCTCGATTTAGGGCTTTTTCAGTACTTAGTGGACGAAAATTCATTCCCTATGTGAAGTTCTTGCCCTCATTTATTGTTGATAATAAACTGAATGGCCATAAGACTGATAGACATTTTTCTAATTGTTTCCTTGTGTATGACACATTCTCCTGGACTTCTCCATGCTGTTTACGGATATTGCTTAAGAGTAGGTCACCTTCGATTAAAAAGAAGTACATAAATAAAAAGCATAATTCTATTCACATGTGAATCTAATATTGCATTATAATAACTAAATACTTGTTTTAAAATTTTTTAGCCAATGACTTCTGTTTGTAATTGGTCTCAGGCACATCCATGATAATACTACAGCAGTAAGCTGACAGCATGCTAACACTCCAGTTCCCAAGGTATCGTTTTTCCATACGAGCAGTGTCTTGGGGAAAACGCTTTCCATGTTCACCATTAACTGTACAGAGATTTTGTGGGAAGAAGTGAATGTTTAGTGACATATTGCAGCCCATGAGACAATGAGTCTTTCCACGATTTTCTGGTAGTTGTCTGCTTTATTGTTTCCAAGAAATTGCTGCAGACATCTTTGAATTCTCTCCAAGCTGCCAGTTCAACTTCATTCGAAATAGAATAAAGCATTTTTATCTTTTTTAAGTTTTATTATTTGTGGACCAACAAAAATGCCTTCTTTCATTTTTGTCTCACTCAGTCGGGGGAGTTTCTGCTTCAGATACAAATGTATATTTCTACATTCTTTGTTAGATTGAAGCAGATATTTGATGTGAGCAAAGCATAATTTTCTATTCAAATTTCATGTAACCCCCATTTAAGCAGCTTCTCGTTTTATGGCACGAAATTCCCATCCCCAAGGTAGACCTTGATTGGGTGTTCCACTGTATTTGCTCTTATATTTATTTGTGGTTTAGTTAGCGATGCTGCCAGTAACTCAGACTGTGTTGCATCAGATGATAGATTTGCTAATGGACAGTGAATTGGAATGGGGGGTAGAAGATAGATGCAGCCTAATTTGAGGTACTATCCAAACATTTGGCTAGAGGGACAAAAGAACAGCATGAAGAATTTGAATTTGGATAGTGTGTAACCCAGAAAACTTTGAACTGGGCATCTCGCAAACAGAAGTCAGAAGGGTTACTGCTGAACACAACTTGTTCAGTGAAGGAAAGTAGGCATTGTACCTGTATGTTATTCCCAGAACTACTTACGGTATTAAGACAAGTGAAAAGTAAATAATTAATGCTATTCTATGTTAGAACTGCAATCACAGGTGCTATGAATAACCAAATTTGCTTAATTTTTTGTATAAACCATCTAGTATCATTTGCTAAATGAAATAATAGAAAAAAGAGGAAGAAAGTTACCTGAATTTCTGTTCTGCCCTATACATTCTTCTAACATTCAAAGTACCAAACTCATATCCATTTTCTTTCAAGTAGGTTGTTTACCCAAGGAATCTGTCTAGGTCTGAGGCCTTTTGAGCATTTTCGTAACAAGCTTATTTTGTACGGTGAGTTGTTAGCCCCACACCGAACCCCAAAGCTGGAGGACCACCCCTTGCCAGGTGTCTGCAACTGCTTATTGAGTATATTCGCAGTTACCCTCCATATCTGGAGGCCATCTCTTCCATCCGCAACCTGAGAATGCACCATTCCTTCATGACAAGGGACCCACCTAACATGGAACATTTACACCAGACATCTAATAATTATATCTTTCATAATTAGAAGCATAATTACACTCAGTTCCAGTAATTATAGATATTTTTCATAGCAACTGCCATCGCCAGTTAGATCCAGTCATCTTTTCATTTACGAGAGATGTATCTTTCTATTTACAAATGTGGTGGTGGTGGCCTAAATCTAACCCCTCATCCTGCAGATCATGATTTTAATTAATTTTAGATTAACAAGGTTTCTGTCAATTCTGTGATTTCTCTTTATTTTGACATACAACTTGCAACATTTAAATTGATTTTCCTTGAATTACAAAGTTATCAGACTGAATCTGACATAGAACCAAAAAACAGTTTTGTGAATGCTGGAGTGTTGGACAGAGTTCAAGAGAAGTAATATTTTAAATCAGTCTTTCTAAGTGATCATCTGTGTCAATACAGAATGAAACTCCAATGGTTCAAAGAGTGTCTTTGTATGCGTTATGAAGACAGGTCTGAACGGTAATAAGAATTTTCTAACTTGCATACTTAATGGATCCCAGTCCTCATTGGTCAACAACAGACTATACAGCCTTTTATTTTCCTAATCTTTGCTGTATTATTAACCAATTTTTGTCACTTATCTCCACAGTCCCTGATAGAAACAAAATTGGAGGTTTTGTTCTGCGCTGGTACAGTTGATCACCTGAGAAGACTTTATTGCATTCAGTAGCCAAGAGAGCTAAAATTTGAGCATGTGGTTTATTTTTAAATTTTAAACTTGGAAGGCTGAACCTTGCTTTGGATCACTGTGATATCTTAGATGTTCAGTAGAGGACAGGATGTAGTTTAACAGTGGTTTTATCTCTCTCTCTCTCTCTCTCTCAGTTCTCTTTTGTGTGTGTGTATATTATCTTTTGTGTTTCTATAGAACATACTGCTCTTTAATTCTTTTCATTGTTAACAGTAACTGTGCACTCCTACCAAATAAAAGTTGGAATTAAGTAGGATCAGTCCATCAGTAACAGCATTTTGTGTTGGCCTCTTGTTGAAAGGTGTGCTCCAGTGGAGTATAATTATTTTCCAAGCATGTTATTTGTCATTTAGTTCTCTTATTGGCCTCAATATTTATTTATTGCATGCATGTCTATTGTTGCAAAGCTATTCAAAATATTTTCTGTTGCAGTTAATTAAATACCATATCAAAAACTCTTTCAGATAAAATGTATATCTTAATGGGATTCATGCTTTATATCACGTAATTCAATTTTTGTATGATCAACCGTTTTTGAGATATTTTATGAGGTTTAATTTATGTCATGTAAAGTAGTAATTATGATGGACTAATAAAAACCAAAATTAAATTTACATGACTGTTTAGTGTACGTTCCCCCCCCCCACACCCAAAAATTACCAAAATTCATTCAGTATTCTTAGAGGCAAAACATGTGGATGAAGAAGCAGGTGAACATGACTTCCCCACTATTAAATTATTTTGTGAAAGAAAACCATAGTAACAGACCACTTGATAACAGTATTTCTCAGAGCTAACTACACAACATACATCCTTTCTCAAATATTCTTCCAGATTCAGTAACATCAGATCTTGATCCAATTTCTGTTAAACCAAGAGCTTTGGTGCCTGGGGCGACACTCTCCCCAGTTTTCTTATCAGAAGAACATCGTACATTTGGGAACCCGATAAGCTACTTGGGTGGACCACGACTGCAGTCACCCAACACAACACGTGCTAGCAAGGAGTCTGTACTTTCAATTGATTGAAGTGCATCTTGTGTGGGACTGGTGTCTTTGGCCACATGCATTATATGGAAATGTCTGCTGTTTTTGAAAGTTCGTGGTAGCTAAAGGAGCAAGTAGTGTAACCAGTTACATGAAAGGAGCAGGAAACTTACAGGGGTGGATACAGCATATCTGACAGTGGACTCAGTAGCTTTGCAGTTGAGATACTGGCACAGGGTACAGTGTCTCCTTGTAGCTCCTGAGACTGGGCAGAATTCACATGATATATCTTTTTACTGTTTCTCTCAGTGGTTCTTAACCTCGGATCACGAGGATCTACCAAAGCTTGTGGGGGATCATTAGAAGAACCATATTTTAGTGCTGAAAAGAACCCACACTTGTTAAACTCATCTGACCCTTGGACCATTCTATAATCTCTGTGGATTTGAAACTGTGTGATATTGAAAGTTTAATTGTAATTATTTGTAATTAATATTGACTGTTAACATTGTTATTAAGTTAATTATATTGATCCCAAGATTTAAAATAATTCATTCACCCCTAGTGAGGGACTCCAAGGTCCATAAATAACATTTCAGTCTTATATGTATGTTGAAATTATTTCCTGGAGTATGAAAGATTGTGTCATTTTTGACAGACCTATTAACATGTGTTTGTTTTAATGTAAGGGCCACCCAAATGTTATTTTCCACTACCTAAAAGAGCTACATGATAGTGGTCTGCAGGTTGCATGTTTAACAGACTGTTTTAGCTTAAGTCAGAAGATCCTGTCAGAACAATTTTGGTTTGGGGTATAAAACAGCTGGGAAGAATCGCTCTGACACTTAGGTTACTGCCTCTCAACCTAAACCTGAGGGAGAGTGGAAGGTGAATGCAGGAATAATTAACTGCAATTCAGACTGGGCTAGGGGCTCCATACCTCCATACCTTACCTACCTTAGTGTCAGTTTATTAGTATTGTCAGTCCTCACACATAAAGACGTCCAGTTACCTCTGTTTCATTTGATTACATCCGGTTTTCAGTTGTGGGAAGTCACATGGTGGCAAACAAGATACTGTGATTAAATTAATGACTTTAGATGATGAATTTCTATTATGGGTTATAGTAAGGCTAGTTAATAATGCAAGATTTGTTATTATCTCCAAGAATTCTGTATAATATTTTGATTTCCCCCCAAAATAGTTTATTCCACCCTTAACTTATTTCTGAAGATCGTTTTTGTCTTGCTCATTTTCAGCACATTAAAATTGCTACATTTCAACAATATTTATCAGCAGGACATATTGTCTGGTGGTGGTGGTGGTAGTAGTAGTTTGTTGTAGTAGTGGAATGAGGCTCGAGTCCTTTAGAACCATCCCCTGATCGTCTTGACAGATAAGTAAAGATCATGGGTGGGAAGAGTTGAATTGTTTGGAGAAAAGAGCTACCCTATCGCCATTTTTATCCACCAGAAATCATGCATTAACTAAATATCCTGGGATTGAACCCACGCCTCCACAGTGAGAAGCCAGTGACCAACTGCCTGAGCTAGGGACCACTGTTTACAATAATAAGTAGCACTAATAATGTTGTTCATAATATTCACAGATTTGGCAAGTATGCATGAAAAGGACAGTTATTTGATAATATTCTGGATGTTAGCAATAACGAGACATTTCAAAAACACTTATGAGAAATGTATATGAAACATTTAAGGTTTTGGGTGATATGTTCAAATTATCAGATATTTATGTATTGCTATTTTCATCCCTGTCAGTTTCTTTATACAAAAACATTTTGTTCGAATGATTCAACTGTGAAGATATGTAGAGCTACGTATTTATGAAATGATGCTTAGTGAAATCAGCCAGTGTCTTTCAGAGTTCATGTTGCAAAGTACCACATCTGTTCTTGCATGTGTGAGCATATGGTGCTCCAGAATGCTGTGTATGGTGACTGACATATCAGGCCAGGTGTTGTGTTTCATATACTGTTCAGTTTCTCTCAGCTGGTTTGACAGACCATGCGGAACAAGCCAGTTGTGTTTAAGTTAACTGACATCTGACTTAGCAGTTTTACTGCTGCTGTATTTGTTATGTAACATGAACAGTGAGTGAAGTGTGTATTAGAATTGTAGATATATCTGAACAAATGCTTGTAGTCAGTTTTATTTTCATCCTTAGGTATGAAGATTTCCAGTTTGAAAATTATTTGGATGATCTCAAGAGTGGCGCAGATACACTAAACTACGATTTTTGATAAAATTTAAGTGGGAAGAGAAAATAGACAACTGACCAAAGCCAATGTGAAATTGTATTTAAATGTGACATCAGTATGTACAGCAAGAGTTGCATTCATTGTTTGACAGTTCTAGTGGTTCATTTTATAACTGTGCCTGATGTATTGCCAGTTAATCCTCTGTATGAAATTCAAATCTTAAAATATTACTCACATGGCTAATTAAGATAGCTATGGCTGGTCTGCAGAGTGGAAGTATAATAAAAGTTCTGCTTGTGTACAGTTATGAAAATACCCTCTGGTGGTTACCCCACCACAGTGGGCTATGCAACCCATGATCTGACTACTATACAGTTATGAACCAACCCACTAGTTGGTCACTCCAATGTGAAGAAAAAGGTTACCCCTGTAACAGGCTGTTGGGGTCCATAGGGTTGTGAGATGTTGAGGCTTCCACATTTTTTAGATAGTCTGCTCACAGATGGCAGTGAGGCTGTCAGCCTTGTTCACCTTTCATCCTTTAGCACAAGGAAGATTCCTGGTACTTATTTCTGTTAGAGACTGAGTCAACCTGAGGACCATAGTGTGGCTAGAAGGATTAGGTCAATTGAAAACTCCAATGATGTCATGAGTGTATAAGAAAAATACATTATATATCCAAAATAATAATCATGAATTGTTCCACCAATGATTATATATAAAACTGTCTCCTGACAGATCAGAGGCTAATGAAATGAATAATATTATGCAATTTATGACCAAAATTTAGGTAATATGATTTGGCATAGCTGTAACGCTCTTTACTTATATTTGGCAGGTCAAGGATAGTACCTCAACTAGGCCATGCCTGCTTCCAAATTCTTTCCAACTCATCTATCATTCTACCATTCAACAGGCTAGTTATGGGCAAAATCATGAAAGAACCACAACAAAAAAGGCATATATAAAATGTTAAGTAGTTTTTAACGGAACTTTCATTATTTATCTCTTCAATGAAATGGGCTAGTCAGCTTTGTCTTCATTGTTTTACTCTTCCCATACATCTGCATAAGAGGGTGAGGTTTATGCCAAAGTGAACAGTCACGCAGGCAGCGTCTATAAAAATTGGCTTCAGTAAAGTGAATGTTATTTTATTAAATTATGTAATGTCAAAGTGCAACATTTTCTTTCAATGCTGTTTCTTTACAGAATAAATTGAAAAAAGGAAAGCATAACTATTGTGAAATCGATTAGATACAGATAAACTAGGTTTAACTAATGCACCCCGCACAGCACGTATGCTTCCCTCCTGCCTGAAGATGGTAAGGGGGGATAAAGCGAGCTTCTACTGATCACTAGGCCTAGCGAGAAGGTCTGGCTTTATGCAGTGGAGCCACAGGGTAGATGCACTTTGCTATTACCTAAAGACTGAGGTGGAGCTGGCCCCCATGTCGTTAGACTTGCTTTATTTATTGGGCTGCAAGAAGTACATACACTTTCATATTACTGGAAAATTGAGAGGGTCCCCTCTTCACTAGGCCTATTGATGAAAGTCTAGGTTTTTTCCAGTGGGCTCCATAGAGTAGACACGCTTTCCTTTTATCTGATGATGGGCATAGTACCAGCCTCCCTCATCATTAGGACAAGTGATAAGGGCTGGCTTTGTCAAGTGGGCATCACAAAGTAGGTACGCTTTTCTGTTACCTGAAGATAGACATAAAGCCAGCCTCTCTCACTACTGGGCCTAATGACGATTAGCTTTATTAATGTGCCTCTTAAAGTACCCTTTCATTTTACTGAAATACAGACGTGGGTGTACTGATAACGCCTGGATTTATCATCTGTGCCCCATCGAATTGGTAAAAATGTAAAGTAAAGGTATCCCTGTAACAGGCCGTGGAGTCCCATAGAGTTGTGAGATGTTGAGGTTCCCACATTTTCTAGACAATAGGCTCATAGATGGCGGTAAGCTTGTCAGCCTTACGTGCCGGCTGCCCTTTATTCCCAAGAATATTCCTGGTAGTCATTTCTGTTAGAGGCTGAGTCGATCCTAGGGCCATAGTGCGGCTGGAGGGATCAGGTCAATTGAAAAAATCCAGTGACCTCATCGGGACTTGAACCCACGACCTTCCGGCTTGTAGCACGGTGCCCCCACTGAATAGGTACACTTTCCATTTACCTTAAGGTTAAGATAGAGCCAGTCCCTTTATGACTTAGCTGGTGATAAAGGTTAATGTAGCTACCAAGTTCACAGAGTAAGTATCTTACTATCTGAACATGGAAACATAGACAGTCCAAATGATCCCACAGAACAGATAGGGGTTGCTTCAGGACTCCACCCTTGATGAACATCAGTTTCATGCAATCACTTTGAAAGCGGTAATACTAAATATTAACCAGCTCCATACAGCTGAGCCTTTCTAGAGAAGCTACCAGTTTCTCAGCTAGTCAAATTATCAACATGTTATGGAATTCAAGGGTTCATTACCATATTCACAGCCAGCCACTGGCCCCTGTCCTGAGCCACAGGAATTCAATCCACAATATCTTCTTTAAACATACAAAATGCTGAAGCACAGTCGCAGCATCAATCTACCTTCACAGTTTTCTGAGAATTAGTGCAACATGTAAATCCATTTATGAACTGTTCAGTATATGCTGAAGGCATGGAACACATATTCTAGGATCATGGAGAATCACTTCCGGTGATACAGCGGTAGTCAGTATGATGTCAAATGCCAAGAAGGGCTCTACTGATGCGAAGTTAGTGAGGTATGAATGTATGGTACATTTTATTTAAAATTAAGGAAGTGTTCCTTGGCAAAAAAAGCCATCAGTAATCAAATTACTTTCTCAGAGTGACCAAGTATTACCTATATTTAGGGTTCACTTCAGTGTGTAGGTGAAGATGGGGAGGGGAAACTAACTGCATTGAATTTAAATATGGCAAGACCTCTATAACTTGGATTAACTGGGGGCGATCCGTTGTCAAAGTTAGTGAAAGTCCGAATTATAGAAGCTACTGAAAACATGTTCAGGGAAGTTATAAAATGGACGTCACAAGTCTTTTTAGGCAATACAGCTTTATTTTGAAACTTAGATTTTATATCATAAAATAAATTTACTTGTTATAAAAATGTAAGTTTTGACATCAGCCTTAAAAACCATTGTAAGTAGCCTATATATTTAGTGGCAAAGCGCTGGACGATTGAGGGGTCAGAGTCTGAGTCTGGGTAAGGTCAAGAATTTTGTCTTCTCCACATCATCCAGACCAGCTCTGGGGCCCACCGAGCCTCCTATGCAATGGGAACTGTAGGCTCTTTCCCTGGGGATAAAGCGGCTGGGGCGTGAAGCTGACCGCTCACCTCCAACTAGTGTCAAGGTCAAGAAAGTGTGGATCTATACATCCACTCCCCCATACATTGTACATCTTCATGACATAGTGCTTAATTAAGCACAGGGATATTTTGTTCAACACCATCTGTGAGCTGATTGTCTAGAAAAATGTGGGAGCCTCAACATCTCACAAACCTATGGGCTTCCACAGCCTGTTACAGGGATATTTTGTCTGTAATGATCAGTAAAACATGATTTATGTTCATGAGACAAACCCATAATAGTTATCTCAGTATACTCAATACCTTCCTACCTACCCACCACTTGGAGCTATAGCCCTGGGTGAGCCTAGGCCTCCTCTATAACCAGTCTCCACAACCAGTGCGTGCTGCCATAGAAATGGACCCACGCATGATGACCCAAGGCTGGCTGTTAGGTTTCTGAACAGAATTCTCTTTACAGTATCAGGCTGTTAGCCTCATGCCCAACCCCCAACCTTGGTATCTTGTAGTCTGGACTCTACCCTTTGACCTTTCCGGCATGGGTGACTCTACTGGTAGTTAGACTACCGCCGGCATAGCTCTCCAGGTCACAGTTACACAAGCCCCACAACCATGACAAAATGTAAACACCTTCAATATACACAATACACATGATATATCGGCCATCTGCGTCCTTATCCTACCTACACTGCAAGACTGTAGAGTGGGCAGATGGCACATCAGGGATATATGAGTAGCTGCTAGGTAAACACATGGAGAAATATCTGTTCTTTTGCCGACTTGACTGTAGTACAGATGGAAAATACATGCACACAGGTTTACTGTCAACCAGACTTTTTGCATGTTATAGTTGCTTTCTCATCTGTGCTTACATTCATTCCTGTCACCACGAACAAAGTATAATAATACAGTGTAACCTCGATAATCCAGACAAAGTAAAGCACTGCTGTGTTCAGACTTTCTAACTGTTCAGGTTACAGACTTCAAATAAAAATTTGATATTTTGGCAAAATTATTTATTCAAAAGATTTATAGATACATTTTATACATATGAGGTGCAGCTATAAAATAACCAGACTGATTTTTTGCCAACTCCCTGTGGTGGCATATTGGCCTGCCCTGTCCCCTGCATCAACACTACCACTTCCATGGCCATAGGACCAACAGTGTGGTAGTAGCCTTTGTTAGAAGTGGACCATGTATGTGAGCTCCGATGGAATTATGTTCAGTGTTAGAGCAACGTGTCAATGTGAAATTCCTCACAAAACTTGGAAAATCTGCTACAACGGTTGCATTTGTTGATGGAAGTTTATGGTGATGAGTGTCTATCTTGTACACAAGTTTTTGAGTAGTACATTAAAGCTGGAAAGGAAGAGACTGAAGACAATCTGTGTCCTGGTCGTGCTTGCAGATTGATACAGATGCTAACAATGAAAAAGTCGTTGCCTGAGCATTTGAGCAGTTGCTGAATTAGCTGACATTGGTAAACAAAGCATTTGACAGATTTCACATGAACATTTGAACATGAAAAAAGTATGCTCAAAGTTGGTACCAGGAATCATCACTCCTGAGCAAAAGGAAACTCAAATGAACATTTGTGCTGACATCCTTCAAAACATTGAAAATGACCCATACTTTTTAGGAAATGTAATACTTGTGATAAATCATGGTTTTTTTTTTCAGTATGATCCAGAAACTAAGCACCAATCCATGCATTGGAAGAGTCCCAGGTCACCAAGAAAAGAAAAGCATGGAAGAGCAAGTCAAATTTCAAAGCAATGATGGTTTCTTTCGATATCCGAGGGATTGTTCACATTGATTGGGTGCGTGAAGGTCAGACTGTTAACCAGGTCTACTACAAGGAGGTTCTGATAATCCTTTGTGAACATGTGAGAAGAAGACCTGAAATGTGGAAGAAAGACTCATGGATTCTTCACCACGACTATGTGCCGGCATACAACACAGTCTCTCAAGACATTTCTGGTGAAGCACAAGATCCATGTGTTGGAACATCCATCCTACTCATCTGACCTAGCCTTGTGTGACTCTTTTTTATTTCCAAAGATCAAGTCTGCATTAAAAGGAACCCATTTTGTCTGTCAAGACGTTTCTGGTGAAGCACAAGATCCACGTATTGGAACATCCACCCTACTCACCTGACCTAGCCTTATGTGACTTATTTTTATTTCCAAAGATCAAGTCTGCATTAAAAGGAACCCATTTTGAGTCCGTAGAGGCAGTGAAGCCAAAAGTGAGAGGTAATAACGAAGTTATCAGAAAAGGACCTGCAGCATTCCAACAGTGGAAAAATTTTCATGAAGCAGTGTGGGGATCGGGGAGGGGCCCACTTTGAAGGTGATTAACATTTACAGTCTCTCTCTGGTTATTTTATAGCTGCCGTAAGTAAACAATAACCAGAACTCGTGGCCATGTGACTACACACTGGGCTCAGGGTAAGTTGTAACTGGGATATATTTTTCACAGCCGTAGAGGAAGGTCCAATGACACCACGTTTCACAAGAGTTCACTTTTACTGCAGGGAAGTAAGATAATTAGATTAAATTAGTAATTTTTGGAGGTTCTGATTTCCTTTTTGGTGGTACCGTCAGTCCACATTAACAAGAGTTCAGAATACCGAGGTTCCACCGTATTATGCCTTCTGAAATATTTTTGGGCTCAGAGGGGAACACCTGAAACTACAGGGTAACCTTGATGTGTGTGGAATACAACAAAAATTTCACTACAGTAACAAAAATGATTGGCGCCGCAAACTTCTTAATGTTGCACATGTAAAGAAATTTTGCATAAAAGGAGGGCCCTTTAGGCACTTTCTTTATTAAGAGTAGTTCCTAATTAGCTGTGACCTTTTTGCACTGGCTGTTTTATGAGTGAGCCTGTCTGCATTCCAAACTCTAACTGTTGTCTGAATGGGGAATTTACTTGACTTTAAGGCAGAATTAATTGGTGGGCAAGAGAAGACCCAATATAATGACTTCAAAAGAACAGCTGATTCATAAAAGTAGGATTGTCAGAGTAGGGGACAATGTTTTCAGGGTCACATTTCATGTGATTTTACTCCTTCAAGTAGAATGACCTCCAAATTTTAGCCAATAAGGAATATCTATCACATGACATCAGCTGAATGTCTCTTCAACTTGCTGCATGCTGCAATTACTGACTTTCTGGACATTGCCCACTGTCCTGTTTTTTTATTTAGAATGTTTTGTAGATTGCAGACTGTCTCCATCCTCAGGTAAAAGCCTACTCAGTTGGGCCCAATTGATAGAACTAGTCCCTATCTCTGGACACCAAAGCGAATTCAATAGAGAATATATAAACCAAACACAACACAATACATTAGTGAAAGCTAAAGTACACATTACAAAACCCCACATACGCGATGCCTTGCACCCCTATGGCCATGGATAATTTAAGAGTCAAAGTCCATAAAATCAGAGTACTACTAAAACACAAGCCAATACTACAGCCCAATTCTAAAGCAAATATAATAAACTTATTTACAGGATGCAGTGTATTGACCTTTAAAATCAGAGATAAGACACACATGCATGTGCATACAGAAAAAGTACCGAATATTAAAATTTGACAGACAAAAATTTCTAAATACCAAACAGGACCTACGAGAAAAAATAAAACCAGTACTTAAATGAGGCATCTGTACAAGGTGTGTCCCAAAAGTCATGAAATATATTTCTTTCCCGCGCTCCTATTGGTCGGAGCACGCTGGAACTGGTTGGATTGGGGGGGGGGGCTTTAGCTTCACAGCGAGCCAAAAGTCAGTCTGTTCGAGCATCGGAGGCGTCAGTATCGCTGATTTAGTGAACCTGTGTTTTGTGACCACGTCACGGCGCGCGATGGCGGATACTTTCGAACAACGTTGGGCAGTCAAGTTCTGCACAAAGCTCAATAAAAAAGCTGCCGAAACTCACGAACTGCTTAAGCAAGCCTACGGGAAGTCTTCTCTATCATATGTGCAAGTTACAAGGTGGGTGAAGAAGTTTAAGGAGGGCCAAGAAGGAGTGGAAGATGACCCCCGCTCTGGATGGCCATCAACAAGCCAAACCGATGATAATGTGACTCATGTGCGTGATTTGTTGAATACTGACCGTCGAATGACTGTCCGGTTGTTAGCAGACACTCTGAACATTCCAAAAACCGTTGTGCATCGCATCTTTATGGACGAATTGAACATGCAAAAGGTGTGCGCCAAGCTGTTCCCCAAATTGTTGACCGACGAGCAAAAGGCCAATCGAGTGTTGATCGCGAGTGAATTGAAGGAACGTGTGGAAATTGAACCTCATTGAGAATGCACTCAAAGGACGCCGTTTTGAAAGCATTCAGGCTATCCAAACAGTGGTGACAACAGCTTTAAATGAGGTTCCCGTCGAGGCCTTTGAGGGGGCGTACCGGGCATAGGAGAGTCGGTGGAAAAAATGTGTAGATGCTCATGGACCATACTTTGAAGAATATTAACACTTTGTACCGATATCATCAATAAATTAAAAAAAAATATATATATATTGTCACGTATTGGGGGTGTATATATTTCATGACTTTTGGGACATAACTTGTATAGTACCAGCATAAAAACGTAACCTCTCCATATATTCTGAAAGGGGTGGAGTTGTAATTTTCTGACTGCTGCTCAACGATGGGAGAGATGTCTAAACTGGTTTGGCTGACTGCAAGAGCTACAAGAGACATGGGTGGTGTAAGTGGTGTTCAGTTCAATCTGCACGCCCTTCCATTCTTTCCAATGTATCTTGTGGCCTCTTATTCCTATGCATGTTGGGTGAATTTTGATTTTCATGCATACCTTGTGTCAGACTGTTTTGTGCTCCTTAGTGCATATTTCTAAATGTCTGCTTGTTCTGCTAATGTAACATTTACCACAATCACACGGAAAAAGTATATACACTGCTTCATCTGCTGGACATATCTAACAGGTCCAGTATTTATCAATGTCCCACAGAGTGAATATTCAGTTGTGAAAATGAGCCTAACACTGAAGCGGTTTCTAATATGTCTGAATTTTTTTTAAATACCCTAACATGAGATAATGACCATGCCAGGATATACTGTATGTGAAGGATGCTTGCTTCCCCTTGGTTTCATTATGGAATGAATATATTCTTGTGGTTATTCATTAAGTATCAGATCATGTTTTATATTCTTATTTTCCCTGTCAAAATCCTTCTGATACTCGCATATGACATTAGCTCTGCTGACTTAAGGTATGAATGACTCCTCTTTTCATGTTTGGGAGTGGTTGGACTCAAAATGTAGATTACATCCTGGAAGTACACTTTTGTGGCTAAATTAGGACCCCTCTTCATAACCAAGATGTCCAAGAAACGAAGAGAATTTTTAACTTCCACTTTCATTGTGATTCTAGGTCGAAGGCTGTTGAGATGGTGAAAAAATTGTTGTGATCTTACTGGACCATGTGGCACATCATTGTTTTAAATAACAAAACAGGGAGCTGGATAATGTTCAAAAAGTCAGTAACTGTATTAACATACCACCATCACAAACTTTCAGATTTTACTTGCTTCACTGTGTATTACAATGTGTGGCTAGTGAATGACAATACAGAATGCTTCTGTCATTGTGCTGCATGTTGTCTAAAAAGTGTTGAGCCTTAATTCTGGCAATGAAATGGAAATGCTTAGTCCTGAATACAAAGCATGAAATGATGTCTGTTACGCTGGTGGTTCATCAAAGAGCAAAACAGGAAGACTGTATGGACTTATATCTTTGATCCATTCACCATTCTGAGTAACAAGGATAAAGTCAGATAAACTGTTCTACGTGATGGAAGACAAGCAACCAAAAACAAACGTGCAATGCAGAGAACAAAGATCTGGAATTAGTATTCTTCATGTTGTTTTGATAGGAAGGATTAAATGCAATATCAGTTGATAGAACCATGAATAGGGGAAAAGTCGAACATTTTGCACACAAAATGTGTGGTGACTGCCATGGTTACAACCAGCCTGTAATGCAGTGTATGTAAGAGTTGGGTCCACTTTATCTTCGTATGTTGTGAGGAAGCACATGAAGTGAGCGTAACTTTTATTTGTAAAGGATGTCTTCCAACTAGTGGTCAGATGCAAATACAAGAGTATATGTAAGTATAAGGCTGGGGCCACACAAGCACAAACAAAATGCGTCTGTTGTAACAAATGTCATGATGTCCGTTGTAGAATTAAACAAGAAAGGCGAATGCTATGCTTTCTTCTGGCTCCATTGCAGACAAAAAACTACGTACCACATTCTGCAACTGTGTGGTGTCCTCAGCAACGTCTGTCATAAAGTACGTTCGCTGCAATGGATGTACTTTGTGCACTTGTGTGGCCCCAGCCTAAAAGTTACCTCTGTGTCTCAGCTCAGATAATGCTCAAGATGTTGAGAATGTTGAATTACACTTTATGATAACTACTACAAAAAACGTTAAATAATATCATGCCTACATTAATATTTTTAAACCACAGTGCTGCATTGTAATACACAAAACCAGAAGTTAGAAGACAGACCTTAGGATTATACATTTGAACCACTGTCAGATATTATAAGTATCAATTACAATGAGCATTTTTTATGAATTGTTTAACTTCTTACAATGCTCAATTTTCTGGACATTATCCATTGTCTTAATTATTTATCTGAAAGGAAGTTTTGGAGACTACAATCCATCTCCATCCTCAGGTAAAAAGCCTACTGTATTGGGTCCAATCAATTCAGCTAGTCCCCATCGGACACCAGAAATAGCACTTTATACATAAACCATCTGTGGGAGTTAAAATAAAGACATATTCACCCATATATATATATATATATATATATGAGATCTTGCACCTATGGTCACATGCATCTGGCTGAATCTTAACTCACACAAACAGTTTTTGTCTTGCATGCCACATACAACATGTCATCTAATTTCTATTGTCCAGTGATAGGAATTAGTTATATCAATTGGGCCCAACACAGTAGGCACCTTACCTGAGGGTCAGACATCTCCAAATTATTGTTTGAAATAAAAATTAGGATGATATGTCCCTAATAACTGTATTAACATATCATAAACTTTTAGATCTCATTTGCTTGAATGCATGCTATATGAAGGTTGCACTGTATATGTAAAACTGTCCAGAGAGCATATTTTCCATTAAGATAGTAAAATTCAACAGTATGAAGCATTTATTTTTACATGTTACAAATGGCAACTAAAAGACAGTCAAATTCATGTCCATGTTTCTCAATGGCATCTGCCCTTCAGTTCAATCATGAACAAGTCCTAACAACACCCACTTACGATGTATGCAAATCTATGACAAAATGTTGATATTTTCTTCTTATACGGACAGGAAAATTATTGGAATTTATGATTTAAAACATCTGTCTTCGTGCTTCTAATCAAAGAACTTAACAGTTAATTAGAAGGGTAAGAATCAATCATAATTTAAGTACATTTTACAAAAGATACATGAAGTTACAGAATTATAAATCCCTTACATATTATAATAAAATGAATATAAAAATAGAGGAAAATAGGGAAACAAACACAAAGTAAGAGATTATAAATAAATAAAGAACCGGAATGTCTTTTCTCCATCATAAAGACACCGTTTTGCGCATATGCACCGCTCTTTTAATGTGTTGTTCCTATTGTCCTTTATTTTCATATTAAGTAATTACATTTTCTTTTTAATGTGAAATAATACAATATATAAATAGTTCACCTTAACAATTTAATTATTCATTTCTGCGTGATTACTCTCTACCATATAACTGCCACAATTTTCCCTCCTACACCGAACATTGCTGGTGAATATGTCCTGTGTGTATTATACTTGGAGGGACGGCTTTAAAAATGGTATGAATAATAAAAATTTGTACCATCCTGTACATTTACAAAATCTAGCTGGTGACAGTCCTGTTATCATGCATTCAGTCCGGAATCCTTTTTCATGTCTTCAGTGATGCCAGTCTTGTCGTCTTTCTCACTTTCTCCTAAAATCAAGTACAGTCACCTTCAAAATTAAACCATTTGTTTGTAGTTAGCTCAAAAGCTTTATTATAAATAGCAATTGTATCTTCATGCATCGAGCTGTTCACAGCTTCCATTACCTTTGGTGTCCATTTTGGTGGCATCCTCAAGCTTCACTTTGTCATCAACATCCTGCTTCTCTTGTTTTGTGTCCAGTTTGTCCAAACGGGGACGTTTTCTGCCCTTAAATGACCTGCAGAAATAAAATTTCATTTGAGCTGCCTACTCCAGCTGCTCTGACAGTGTCCACTTATTTACTGTTTCACATGTAAGAGACAAACACCTACAAACTGTTGGGAGGAACCTCATGCAAAGTAGTCACTTGGAAGGCCAAGGAGATGGAAAAATCTCATAATAACAAGTGTCGTTGTCTGTGAGCGGAGGAACTTGAGAATGTGGCAATTTGAGCAATAGGAAAATGCCAAGTTCTGCAAAAAATTGGGCAAATCCACTAGCAAAACGTTTCAGATGATCAAGCAGGCATACAGCAAAGAAGCATTCAGCCACAGGGCTGTGTTTAAGTGGCATGAACGTTTTACACAAGGGGGAGAGAGTATGGAAGATGATGAGCATACTGGTCAGCCAAGAATGGTCAGAAGTGAATTCAAGATCCAAGATGTTGCAATGTTGGTGCATGGCAACTGCTCCCAAATGCTAGATGAAATTGCAGCAGGAGCAGCAGGGATCAGTCATGATATTTGCCACAGAATTCTGTCTGATGACCTGAACATGTCTCTTGTTACCCAGCAGTGTTCCACTCCTCCAGACACAAGACCAACATGACGATTGCATGAGCATTTGTAGTGACCTGATCGATAGTGCTGACAAAGATGAGATGTTTCTCAACTGGATAATAACTGGAGATGAAACAAGGTGTTTTCTGTATGATCTGCAGCTGAAGTAACGATCAGCCACCTGGAAATCGCCATCATTGCTAAGAAAGAAGAAACCGCGACAGGACAGGTCAAAAGGCAAGGTAATGCTTGAACTGTTTTTTGACTCATCTGGAACTGTTCATACGGAATTCATCCCAGAAGGAGCAAGTGTAAAGAAGCACCACTACAAGGAGATCCTTCGCCATCTATGCAATTCAATTTGTAGTTAAGCATTTGGCACAGGAACAACTGGCTGCTGCTGCTACACAACAACGCCCCTGCACATCACTCTGTGCTTGTCCAACAGGAGCTGGGAAAACAACAGGTCACTGTTTGCCACACCCTCCATACTCATCTGATCTCGTACCATGGGATTTCTTTCCCCACTTGACACGTGTGTGTCAATTTCAGTCAGCGGAGGAGATCATCACTGCCACGAGGGAAGCCGTATGGGAACTTCCTGCAAATATCTTTCAGCAGTGTTTCCAGCAGCTAACGGTAACTATTTTGAGGGAGGATGTGGGTATGTGTAAGTGTATGTGCGTATCTTGTAATATAGTGTGACAAAACCACATCCATGAAATTACTGACTGCGGTAAAAGTAAAGCTATCCCTGTACCAGGCTGTGAAGGCCCATAGGGTTGTGAGACGTTGAGGCTCCCACATTATCTAGACAATTGGCTCAAAGATGGCGGTAAGGTTATCAGCCTTATGCGCCAGCTGCGCTTTACTCCCCAAAAAATTATTTAATTAATTCCTGGTACTCATTTACGCGAGAGGCTGAGTGAACCCCAGGGACACACCGCAGCTGGAATGATTAAATTAAATAATTTCATTGCTGTGACCTGTTTTGACATCACATGATCCTAAGGCTACATTTACATTATTTGTAGCATAACTGCTATTGTTGCTATATATAACCAGTTTTTACATATGTATTCTAAATAACACATACTAAATTTGTCTGACTGTTGCTGAATAGTACTGCAGTAATGATGTTATTGCTATACTGTCTTTGTATCTTAAAAGATATCTAACTAAACTTATTTATCAAAAATTTAAAATAATATGTTGTAAATCGCCATGTATTTGTAGAGCATTAAGTGATGTGGAGGGCTGCGCTGACTTTTTTATGTTAAAATTGTTTGTTCATTTTTATTCATTTTTCTTCTGATCTTCATGTCTTTTTCTTTCTGTGAAACTAATTTATGATGGTTGCAATCAAATAATACTGTTTAGGATTGTACTGCAGTGGTAGTGTTTAATGACGTATATCAATGCACAAGTATTAGGAAATTTTTTGTTCATATTTTTTGTGAATGTCTGTCTCTTGATGATGATGCACCGTCTCTTCTCGACTGTGGCGTCTGTATGTTTGTTGTTCTTGTGTAACATACTTGCAGCAGTGGTTTGTATCAAGCTGTGTCTGATATTGGCTGTGGGTGTGTGGTTTAATGGTGTTATTATCCCTGGTTGTAGTGGTGGTATACGATTTTGAATATGGTGGTGTTACTGCCTCAATGACCTGTTTATATTGTTTAAAGGTGCAGAATATATGGTAATTTTCTGAGCTATTTAAGTCTTCCTTTAACCCTTCAGTGCTGCGCTCCATACCTGGCATGCCAGCGGCTTCTGTCACACGCTGCCAGGGTCGCTGCAGGGTATACTTAGTGTAATGCTATGTTTCAGCTCGTATTTTGAACCATTGTTTTTCATGTAAAGTAATTCTTTTGGTATGAAATTAAAGAGGAAATTTCAGGCTATCATTTCATATATTTGTTGTCCCACTTTGAACTTCCTGTGGGAGTTTAATACATTTGAATTCTTTGAAAAAGTTTTCTGTTTCAACACTTGGTGCGCTTGTTACCATACAAACCTACCCCTGCCTAGGGGAATTGTTATGAACTAAATATGTGAGATCGATCTGTGTACTATCCTCTATGCTGATTGAATGAAAAGTTGATTCTCTTTGAGGCATAATCTGAACTGTGCTGCTTCAACGTTGGTATCTGTAACTATGAGAAGACATGTGGAGAATCAGTGACTCTGACACGTGTTATGACTGCTACACAGCAAATGGTAAACAGTTCACTGTATGAATGGTACTACTGTAATTCCCCTTTGTTCTATAAATACTCATCATGCAGTCTGGTTAGTCAAGGCCAGCCGCAAAGAATGAAGTGGCCAGCTGTGTTGTGTCATGATCAGTGGAGAATATATTTACTTCAAACCAAATCAGAACAAAGTTTTATCAGATTCGAAATTAGACACTGAAAATGGATGTTTGTGCTTTTCTTGATTCTGTGGTAAATGACAGAATTGAGAACAGCACAAAAATCCATTGGGAGAATATGTAAAACTATAAGGGACAAAAAGAAAATTTCTGAATGCAATGATAACATGTAGGAATAACACAAGGAAAAGAATAGATCAACTGTCAATCAGAATTCAGTTAACTGAGGGACTCTCTGTGAAATTTGCTAATGCTGTAGAACATAAAGTGCCAGGTAAACATTCGTCAGACAAAACAGTGCCCCTTCTAAGAGATAGAAATTTTATGAGCAACATTCCATCAACTGCGAAGAAATCAAATCCACAGAAATGGAGAGTTGTGTGTCAGAAACTGTGTACTGGTGTGACGCGTGATGTGGGACCGTGTGTGGAATGTTTTCACAACACACCCAGCTGAACTTCTAAGGTAATATATTATCATTCATAATTTTTATAGGCTTACTGTGCTAAAAAATCATTTTAAAGTGTGGATCAATACACCAATTCTATATACATTTCTGAATGTAGTGTGAAAATTAGAAAAACAAAACTCCAGTTTTTTCCAAATTTATTACACTTTAAGTGAAATGTTGCACTCTCCGATTTAAATATTTAAATATACTCTGGCACAGGAGTTGAGTAGGAATTTGAATGCAGCTGGTGGTGAAGGGTTAATGGTATATGGTTATTTCCACTGCAGTGTTTGTCATCTTATATGTCATTTTTACACAGAAAGGACATCAACAACAACAACAAACAGCAAAACATGCATCCAAAATATTGTGGCATACAGATCTGTTGCTAGGCAACAGCATCGTAAACACGCGACAGTACTGGAGCCATTGCTAGGCAGCGGTCTGCATGCAAGAATGGAAGTACTGTTGGAAATGGTGTCTTCTATGCTCTCAGGATATATTACTCGACTGACCGAGTTGCGGTAGTTTACAAAATCCCTGCATTTCTACTTTCCACTATGCACAGTAAAAGGTTTGTTTGAAAACTTCCCAGAATGGCCATGTGGAGCACCACCACTGATGAACATGTGGATTAGTGTGGAATGTCTGAGAGCCGTGACTGTAACCTGCACATGGTAAATCATTCCGAACAGCTTGTGTGACATTTTGTAGTGTCATGGCCACTTGTTTGTGTGAAATCTGGTGTTAAACTGGGTAAAACTGCTGTGCGAAGCTTACAATAAAATGGCCTGAGTAAAACTAAAACCTATGAATGGCAAATGTTTCCAGAACAGAAGAACTTCAATGGTTCACGATGAAAGTTTAGGTCCAACCTTCAAATGTGATGATTTTCTGATTATTGATGACTATGGCAAATAGAAGTAACTGGAATATGCACTGGCTCATGTCATGAAATTTTAATAGCAGATTTATCAATGCACTGCATGTCAGAAAAATCTGTGGCAATGCTCTTCACTGAACATCACACAATGTGTTTCAATTTGTGAAGATCTGCTGCAACAAGTGAATGATATTGAATATTTCTTGAAAAACGTCACCATCAGGGCTGAGACTTAGATTTATGGCTATAACACTGAAAACAAAATAACACTGTGGAAGAGCCTGATTCACCACTTTCCAAGAAAGTGTAAGCATACTTCAAGTGAAATAAATGTTGGTTTATAAGTAAAGGTAAAAGGTAAAGTCATCCCTGTGCTTATTAATTAATTAATTAAGCACTATGCCAAGAAGATGTATGAGGGAGTAGAAGTATAGTGAGGTAATCTTCATGACTGGCCACTTTAACCCCAGGGGAAAGAGTCTATAGTGCCCACTGGATAAAGGCTGGGTGGACCCCAGAGCTGGTCTGGTTGCTATGGAAAAGAGAAAATCTTGCCTATACTGGGAATCAAACCCCAGCCTTGCAGCCTGTAGCCCATCACTATAGACTGAGGTATCCCAACCCCACTCGTTTATAAGTATGATGCTGAAACAAAATGACAATCTTCGCTATGGAAAAGCCTGATTCACCATGTTCCAAGAAAGCAAGTGTGCCCAGAAGTGGAAACAATGTTTATCATTATCTCAATCATCAGAACACAGTTCAATATAAGTTCATTCCAGTGGGCCGGACATTAACCGAGTTTATGATATGTATATTCTGAGATGTGCAAGGGATTTAGTTTTACAAAAATGGCAGGGAATGTGTCACCTCTATTATGGCAATGCACTAGCTCACATAGCACATAGTGCTCTCTCTTCAAGAGTTCTTGGCAAAAAATTTGATTCCTCTCCTTCCACAACCTGCCTATTCACCTGAGCTATCCCTATAAGATTCCCTGAAGAAAAATGACACTGAAAAGAAGAAAATTTAAAATGGTACAGGACATAATTACACATATGACCAAGATAATACAACAAACATCTATGAATGCTTCCAAAAATGCAAAAGATGATGGGGTGGCACACTGCTGCTCAAGAAAATTACTTTGAAGGGGTAAGTGTAAGTAAGCTGTAAGTCTTGAAATATAATTACTTACAAATTCTGGGAACATTATCAACAAACTTTGTATATCAATCAACTCTGAAACCGGTAGGAACTATAATGTAGTATCCCACCTCTGATCTCGACGTCCTCCCTCCCCCTCATCTTCAGAGTCACTGTACTCATTATCAGGTGCTATTCGCTTGTCCAATGCAGCCTGAGTTAACCGTTCATCAGGGTTTGCTTTATCTTCATCATCTTCAGAATCATTAACTGCATCTTCAGGGATTGCTGAAAGAAACCAAATATGTAAACACTTCAGTGAAAGAAAAATTGTTCCTCTACTTAATTAAACCATGAAGATGTATGTTCTTTCATGCATTCATTCATCTGTAATCTGTCAAGATGACAGGTCCACAGTCTCTTCCAAAACAGTTCCTCCACTTGATGCGATCTAGAGCTTTCTCCTTCAAATGAAAATATCATCTTGTCACTTCTATCCGCCCCTCTATCTTGTATGTAGAGTTGAAATACAGCTATATGTATTCCTAAAACTGGCTCTAAATGGAGGAAAGAGTTCAGTGTCATGGCCTCACCCCAGGGTAAAGAACCCCCCAGTACCAACTGAATAGGAGGATTAGTAACACCAAAAGGCAGACTGGATGTGGTAGTAAGGAGAAAATAGTGCCTTTCCTGCAAATCAGATCCTGGTGCCCAAGCCTGTAGCCAGTTAACTATACTGACCAAGCTATCTTAGGTCATAGTAACTGTTATAATTCATACTGTGCAGATAATTTACATACCATTTACAATATAAAATAAGTTATTCAATAGTAACAAAAAACATGAAACAATATTCCTGAATGTTATTTTACAAATACTGATAATTTCTTGAGATATGTTAAAAACTGCTATTATAATTTAAACGCCACATGATAAAGCTTAATAGCCCACATGTGGACAGGCTTTGTCCATTCACCTTGTGCTTGAACTCCTGGGGCATGGGGCAGCATCCGAAGATTTTCAAATAGTCTCGTCCTGTAAGAATAAATCTCAAATCAAAAGTGATCTACAAATGAAAATCCTACAACACATTTCCATAAAAATGAGTATTTGTGGTCCACATCTTCACAGCAGTTCATTTTCCAATTGTGGCCTTATTATTTAACTGCCTCTTTGTAGGCTGAGATGGTGGCCAGTGAGGTTTTCTTGGATTAGAAAATCATATGCTACCCCATTCTGAAAACGTTTCCATTAATAAAACTTTCCTTATCTAATAACTAGAACAGCTTCTGAACATAATCTCCTCCAATATCCAAGCACAATGCATAACAATGTAGCAAATTCTGTGAATCACAGAATAACATTTCAGATTTTGATCTGTAAAGCCTCCAAACTGATGGATTATTTCTATCAACCATCTATTTTAAGTTTACCTAGACATAAAAATCACACACATTCACATCTCTGAATGTGATGGCCATGATTCATGCATTAAAATAAACAGTCACCATAACAACTGTGCACTTCATTTGTGTGAATCACTACATATCTGTTCCTCTTACCAGTCAGCTTCAAGCATACCTTGTGTGATGTTCAACCATGGCAAGATACAGTATTGGACAACACATATTTCATGTCAGTAATGAAGTTAGGCATAAAATCTATAGAAAACAATTCACACTCCATGGGATTTACAGATTCAAATCCAGAATATTATCTTACAAATCATAGAGGGCAAACTTCAATGCCTATAACAAAATTTATATCAGTGTGAAATGTGCTTGGATGCCGATCACTGCCTTCAGCAGCTATTGCATAAACAGGTATGTAAAGTGTTCTTGTTTAAAACATCTTTGGGCACAGAGGTACCACCAACTGGACCACACTGTAGCATGATTATATGAGAGAACCCACCCAACCATCCAGTCTTGCTATATGAAAAGGAAGTAATACGGTTGCAAACAAATGAACAAACTGCTCTGTACATGGGCTTACTTGATTTTCTCTAGGTATTCTGGTGTGTTCTGGTTTGCCATGTTAGAAGGGCTAATATGCAGCTTGAAGTCAGGGCCGAAGTATTCAAAGTAGTCATTATATGGCAGTTCATTTGCAATCTCAGTGCCCAGCGCTACGGATGTCTCGTACGTCCAGCACCGAGATACATTTCGTATGGTGTAACCTCCTCCTCCAACCATCAAGAATGGAAGTCCATATTTCTTTACAAACTCCACACATTTTCCATGACCTAAACAAAATTACAAAATCACCAGGCTATTTTAAATTCACCTTTCACATTATAATTTTTACAGAGTCATGATAGCACCAAATAGTACAGATTCCAGACTGTCAAGAGCACTGGGGCTAAGAGGGGCTAAAATCTGGCAAACGCACAGTCTGATTCCTTTTCATACTCAAAATAGCTAAGAAACTCCTGCTAAAGTAATCTGTTTCATGAGCTTTACATTCAGTTACTAGTACAGATAGAAAAGTGCCTCATTTGTTTGACATTTCTTTGAAAATGGCTGTACTATCTCAAAATTAAAATTTTAATTCTCCACTGGAATAAAATGCTACTAGGAATGTTTTATTTTGCAGCTAGTTGCAAACACCATATTCTGTCTGCTGTTGCCCAAGCTTGCTTGAAATATACTAAGGGTAGTTATAAAAGTAAGTTTAAACGAGGGGGTACCCAAAAGAAACCAAACTTATTTTTTTTAAACCTATTTATTCAAATTTTAAGCACAAACCTTCAATCCCCTTCAAA